GCTTCCCTTTGCCCCTTTTGTCCCGTCGCCCCCTCTGCGCCTTTGCCTGTTACGTCGCATCGTGAGCATCAAATAGTCTCCGCCCTGCTTCCTCGTCGCCCCCTCTTCTACTCCCGGCCCCACTTCCATGCTCGCCAGGGCCTGGCGTCAGGCGCGGTGGTGCTGTTCCTGCGAGGCGGCGCGAGTTCGATGATTCTGCGGTTCGACGCGAATGTGTTCTTGTTTTTTTCCCTACACGCCCCTCTTGCACCTACCGGCCAACAATCTTCAAGGCTCGTTCGTCTTGTCTCCCCATCATGCTCCCCTCTCATCTGTGCTTCCTCCCCTCCCCTCCTCCCAACCCCCACCTCTCTCGTCCCTTCCCACCCCTCATTTCTCGCTGCTCGGTCTGCATTACAGGTTGCATCTTCCCCTTCCCTCTCCTGAGTCTGTCAATTTACCCAGGCCACGTGTATCTTGGTCAGTGCCGCGTGTCTCGCAGTGACTGGCATCGGATGCTTCGCATGCCAACTTCTCAATGTTTCTATTTACCACACCAACCCACCCTTGCTGCTTGGAGATTGTCCTCCCCTACCCCCCTCTCTTCTCTCTTCTCCCCCCTCCACCCCACCGCCTCTCTGCCCGCCGTTCCTCGTCCTCCTCCCCCCACCACCACCTGTGTGCAGCGCCTTAGTGGGAATATACGCTCAGAACCTAAAGCGTATAGCGTATATACGCTTGCGTTCATACGCAAAACGCTATACGCTAGCTAATACGCTATACGCTTTCAGAGTTTTTTAGGGGCTGCCCGGGAAAAAAAATCGTGTGTATACGGAAAGATGCGGAATCTCCTGGTGAGCATTTCGCCGAAGTCGAGGTGCAATTCGGGGTTGTAGGGAAGCGGGAATGTGCCTTACAATCGCGTCTGGCAGTTCAGATCTACAATTTTGAGTAGTACCGCATTGAAAACCATCCCATCTACGAACTCCAACCTGTCAAAAACGTTCCCCCAACAAACCCCACTCATGCTACTAACCAGCCAGCCCAACTGCACTCGACATTTCCCGCTTCCCAACAGAGCTCATCCCGATTCCTACTTTTCCTTCTAGCGATAGTGTCTACTACACATCCCACCCAAATCGAAGTTCAGACTTAAAAGAATGCTACGAAATTCTTAATGAAAATACGGAATACCTTCCCGATGTTGAGCGCGACATTGTTTTTCACCCTGCCCGGGAAGTTTTTTTCCTGCCCGAAAAAGCGGATTTCCAAACCCGTCCCTACAGCGTATAGCGTATATAAGATTGCGTATATACGATATGCGTATATACGCAATAAGCGTATATTCCCACTAAGTGCAGCGCTGGGCCACGTTTATCTTGGAGGGAGGTTGCTGCAGTGAAGGAGGAGCTGGGAGACCACAAGAATGCTGAAAGAGGAAGAGAATCAGATTTGAGAGAGCTGAAAGGAGAGACTGGGAATGGAGAGGATGAATTCAGAACGGAGTTAGCAAGCGAGAGGGATGAGAGGAGGGATGTGCAAGAGGTTGAGAGAAGAGAAGCAGATTTGATTGGAATGAGAGGGATGGTGGAGCAGATGGAACGAGAGCTGGCTGCAGTGAAGGGGAAGCTGGCAGCAAAGAAGGATGCTGGCATGAAGGTGGATGTTGACCTGCAAATCAGGCAGAGTGAAGGTGTTCAAAGGACGGCATGGCAGGTGAGTGCTGAGTGAACTGTTGCACAGTGCATGCATTGTTTGATGGAGCATGAGTTGTCATGAATGGCATTCCTTTTCATGGCATTCATTCCCTCTTCATCCGTCACCTCCAGCAAATCAAGTCAGCATCACAAGGAACGGCTCTGGACCTGAGCTATCTCAGCGGCCTCTCAGACGCCATGCTCGCCCATGTGTCCACGATGTCGTATCTGTCGAGAATTGACTTGCAATCTAGCTCAGGCTTTAATGCAGAGGGCATCAAGCACCTCTACAGGCTGCCACGGCTGACGATGCTAGACCTCCAAAGCGCTGAACGTCTCAGACAGTGCCTTGGAAGGCATCGGGTCCTTGACCAGTCTCAAGGAGCTCTACCTCTATTGTACGAAGGTGACCGACGCTGCTCTGGCGCACTTGGCAGCCCTCTCCTCTCTCAAAGAGCTGGGGCTTGATCAATGCGAGGGTGTGACAGATGCTGGCATGGTGCATGTTGGGAGGCTGACAGGGCTTAAGGGTCTAGGGCTGCATGACACCGCAGTCACGGAAGATGGGCTGCAGCAGCTGACTGCCCTGACCAAGCTTACAGATCTCCAGCTTCCAATTGGGGATGTTGTTTACAACGACGATGTGCGCAGGTGGATAGGAAGATAGGGTGACAGGGGGTGACGGATGGGATGGAGACACATGAGGGCAGAGGTGACTGCTTCGAGGAGAGGTGTGGAGCAAATGGGTGTGAAGAATGGTGGGGGTATATGCAGGAGTGTGCAAGGAGTAGGAGCAGTAGGTAGAAGTGTACATGCATATCGGACCCTGCAGGGGGTTTGCTTGAGGATGCAGAGGCTTGCTGGAGGGCATTATCTTTGTTGGGCTGGGTGGCATGCTACAACATTGACCTGTGCCTATCGCTCTACAACAACTTGCAGGGCCCCCCTCGGGCTAGATAGTACAGTTATGTAGGGGTAGGCATTCCTGGATAGTCCTCAGTGCAATGTGTGTAATGCGTTAGCCTTTGCTGATTATGTTGTCTCTTGAACAGTTTAATGATGCTTGATTTTTTACACGTCTCATATGGGGTGCTCAAGTGCATTGTGTGTAGCCTAGGAGGCAGGGCATGATGCCTGGGGTGGAGGGTAGAAGCAAAGCAGAAGGTAGGTTTTGGATGCTGCTTCATTGCCTTTCTTCCTTCTCAGTTGCTTGCTTGTCCGTTGACTTGCATGCTGGAACCATGCTTCTATGCTCCCATAATCCCATCGCTATGAATGGACGCATCTCTGAGTCGTGGCATCACTGAATGGCCTCTCAGCTTACGTCAGGCAGGGGGGAATGCCAACGAGCAGGTGAGAGAAGTCGAGCATGTATCTTTATCATTTTCTCACCCCAGCTCTCTTCTTTCATCAAATGCTGCTGCCAATCCTCTGTCCTTTTGTGCCTTCGTCCAGACGTGCCCAGCATGGTGCTTTTGGTGTAAATTCGTTGGTGAAGGAATGAATTTCAGCACCGTTTTCTCGAGTGAAGTGCCATCAGCCAATCTTCCACTCCCCCTTCCTTGCTCTATGCCCTGGCCCTCTTCGCCCTCGCCCCGACTCCCACCCGCTCCCTTCATATTTCACAACCCGCAGCACCTGCTGTACTAACAGAGAAAGGCCCGTCTCATCTCTACCGCTGGTCAGCATGGCAGCAGCATGGCCCCTCACGGCAGCACACTGCTGGGCACCATGGCGGAGACGCCGGCCGCAGCAGCAGCATCTGGATTTTCTGCACAGCGGTGTCACAAGTCACGTGTCTCTACCACCATCATCGTACCTATGGGATCACTTCCCATCCCTGGAGAATTGCCACATGCATCCACCCTTCCCCCCTCACCCTTCACCCATGCTCCTCCCCTGTAAACACATAGATATATCGCTTTTCGCACATCCCTGCTTCTCCTAAGGAACTTCGCTTATACCGACCCCCTTCCGTTTCCCTGCTTCCCTTATTTCCTCTCAACCCCCTTCCCCCTTGCTTTTTCACCGCCCCCCTCCTCCCCCCCTCTTCTCTCTAAAGCCAACAGCTGACTTGCTGCGGATGTGCATCTTCTCCCAGTCTGTGATCGTTTCTCACACGGTCCACCAAAGCATGTGTGGTCGCATGGCAAATTCATTCCTTCACCAACGAATTTACACCAAAACGGCCCTACCCTACCACAGCCGTGGCGGCAAAGCGACCACAGCCTGGCAGCATGGCAGAGCCACAAGAGGACATCGCACGAGAAGTGGGTGCACGCAGGCGAGTATGGAGGCGTTGGAGGGCAGAGCGAGGGAGCAAAAGCCATGGATGTGACTTTGTTGTGAATGTGACCCTGCGACCATGCAATCAGTGTGGAAGAGAGAGTGGGCGTTAGAAGCGAAGCACGCTGCTCATTGCATCCTGATCATGCGGGGATTTTAGTCTTCCATGACGAAATGAAGAAATGCAAGCACATGGCATGGCATGATCACATGCCATGGATGTGGATGGGATCTCAGAAGACGGCAGGCAGGGCGACTTGCCAACGCGGAGGTGAGAGAAGTGAAGTCGACGGAGAATTTATCATTTTCGATCCATTTTTGCTGCCTATGCCTCTCTTTTGCGCCTCCGCCTATCCATGCCCAATATGATAAGGCAGGATAAGCCAGGATATGGTGCTTTTGGCTCATCACACCAACAACACCTCAACAACACTTTCATTTCATAGTAATGCGGAGCCCTCTCATCCTTGCGGCACACAGCCGAGCAGAATGTCAGAGCCAAAAGCACCATATCCTGCACCATCGCATGCCCATCCATGCTTTCGGACTCTCTGTCTCATCCATGCACCATCGCCCCCATCACACCAACTCATCACCCCCATCAATCCAACCCATCGCACCCATTTTCAAGGCATATTTACTCCCCTCTTTGCCATTGCTTCCGTCAGATAAGCCATGTGTTTCCTCCCCATCTCATCCACATCTGCTCCCAACGTAGCGACGCGCCAACGCAGCAGCAGCATAACAAATCCACATACAATCCCACTCTCTCCTCCCACATCAGCTACACCAGGACAATTTTCTCTCCCTCTCTTTCCCCCCTCCATGGCCCATTCACCCTACTGCATACATCCTAACTCACTTGAGTTCTTCACGCCTGCTGCTGCAGCAGCAGCAACATGCAGCGACGTTGCAAGAGAGGCATAATGAATGTAAGGGGTTGGTCAAGAAAGGGTCGATAAGGGAGTGTAGAAGGGGAACAAAAGCACTTGGCCCATGCACTGCTGGAGGGGCAGCTGCCCAATCCACACACACCCAATGCCTGGTGCAGCAGCATCATCGCTGGTTGTGCCTGTAGCAACTCCTCCCAACCCCCTCAGTTCCTCCCACCCCACTCACCTCCTCCCACCCCACTCACCTCCTCCCACCCCACTCACCTCCTCCCACCCAACTCACCTCCTCCCACCCCACTCACCTCCTCCCACCCCACTCACCTCCTCCCACCCCACTCACCTCCTCCCACCCCACTCACCTCCTCCCACCCCACTCACCTCCTTCCACCCCACTCACCTCCTCCCACCCCACTCACCTCCTCCCACCCCACTCACCTCCTCCCACCCAACTTACCTCCTCCCACCCCACTCACCTCCTCTCACCCCAATCACCTCCTCCCACCGCACTCACCTCCTCCCACCCCACTCACCTCCTCCCACCCCACTCACCTCCTCCCACCCCACTCACCTCCTCCCACCCCACTCGCCTCCTCCCACCCCACTCGCCTCCTCCCACTCCACTCACCTCCTCCCACCCCACTCACCTCCTCCCACCACCCCACTCACCTCCTCCCACCCCACTCAACTCCTCCCACCCCACTCACCTCCTCCCACCCCACTCACCTCCTCCCATCCCACTCACCTCCTCCCATCCAACTCACCTCCTCCCATCCCATTCACCTCCTCCCACCACCCCACTCACCTCCTCCCACCCCACTCACCTCCTCCCACCCCACTCACCTCCTCCCACCCCACTCACCTCCTCCCACCCCACTCACCTCCTCCCACCCCACTCACCTCCTCCCACCCCACTCACCTGTCCAGTGCCGCACTTGTCCTCCCTGCCCTCTCTGCCTGTCATCCAACTGTCAGAAGCTCATCATCGGTACAAGTTACAGCTCCATCTTGCCATGCCCATCAATTCACCCCAAAGCACCCTCTTTCATCTCTGTTCCCCTACTTGCCATTCACCCTGTGCATAAACCAACCATCCCTCTCCTCATACATCCTCCCCCTCTGCCCGCCATCACCCTCCCATTGGCTCCCCACCATCCCAGCCGAACAGCAGCGCCGTAGCCATCGCACCCTCAGGCACCACCTCTCCCTCCCTTTCATGTCACCCGCACCAGTACCGCCTGCTGTCAACCAGTTTTTCCCACATTGCCCAACTCGCTTTCTCTCGCTGCCGCTTCTCATGCCTCAATGCATTTTGCATACCTCATCCTTGACCTCATCCCATACATTATCCCATACCTTAATTCAATACCTCATCCCATACATTATCCCATACCTTAATTCAATACCTCATCCCATGCATGTATCCATCCATACCTCATCCCATGCATGTATCCATCCATACCTCATCCCATGCGTGTATCCATCCATACCTCATCCCATGCGTGTATCCATCCATACCTCATCCCATGCGTGTATCCATCCATACCTCATCCCATGCGTGTATCCATCCATACCTCATCCCATGCGTGTATCCATCCATACCTCATCCCATGCGTGTATCCATCCATACCTCATCCCATGCGTGTATCCATCCATACCTCATCCCATACGTGTATCCATCCATACCTCATCCCATGCATGTATCCATCCATACCTCATCCCATGCGTGTATCCATCGCGTACCTCATCCCACACTTAATTCCTTCATCATGCCCGACCCACCCATGCCCAAAACATCGTGTCCCTCCCCTTCCTGGATTCCCATCCACTTCCCACCATCACTCCCCCTTCTCGTCCCCACCTCCTCAGATCCACCACCTCTACCTCTGCCTCTCTCCCTCCTCGCAAGCAAATCAGTGCAGGGAACCGTGGCAGTATTCGACAACCTTATAAGTTCTTTGCATCACTGCAGTGCACAGTTCAATTATCTCGGGCGAGTCGCAAGTCCTCATCCCCTGCATGCTACTCCAAATCATCCATTCCAGGAAGTCAGCTCTCCTCTCCCTGTGTTGCAGCCTGCTGCCATACACTGCAGCCTGCGAGGGGAGGTGGACCACCACAGGTGGTGTGAGAAACAAGTGCTGAAGGGTGGGGTTGATCGTTAGGAGGGATGAAGACAATCTCTCAAGTGCGCAGCAGCGTGCGTCACATCTGCCTTTCCCCGTCAATACACAGGGGGTCAAAAGCAGTTTCAGAACATTCACTAGGAAGCCATCTCATGTGGATTGTACGGCATGGTATCCTTTTTTTGTCCCTGAATCTAAGAAACTGGTGAATATCATTGGTTGGTTTGGGACATCACCAGATGAACATGATCAGTGTGAATATCATTGTCAAAGTATTATGGTCTGTATCACTTTTCGCATTATCCATCCAACAGTGCCCTCATACTACACCTGGCCGAACAGAGCAAATAGAATGAACATGATCCATCCTTCAGACCCTACTTAGGTGTCAATATAACTACTAAAGCGATAGCACAGAAGCTTAATTCCTTCATACACATGCCCTGCCCTCTCCTCTATGTGAAGACCTTCTGTACAGCCTGCTTGCTGCAGCCACAGCCAGGCGAGTATGGCTCATGCAGCCTTCCCACATACACACGGTTATCTCTTGCCCAACCAGCCGTGCACCTGCTTCTGCCCAACTGCAAGGCACAGGTTCTGGCCATTCTCCACCTCTCTCCAGCATGCAGCTGTGCACAACCACCATTTCATGCCTCACTCCTCCGTATGCATGCCTCCCCTCACTCTTCACACCCTCTACCTCCACGCCACTCCTCAGCCTTCCCTTCCAAGACACACACACGTCCCTCACTGCACCTCCGTCTCCATCGTCACTCTCTGCCACCCTGCCTGCCTATCCTGTGCTAATTACCGTACTCAGACGATTCCCTTCTGATGTAGACAGACTCCTCAGCTTGGTCAGGGCAGTCAGGTGGTGCAGCCCATCATCCGTGACTGCTGTGCCTTGCAGTCAAAGATGCATAAGCCCTGTCAGCTTCCCTACATGCACCATGCCCGCATCTGTCACACCCTTGCACGCAGAAAGCCACAACAGTATAAGAGAGGAGAGGCCTGCCAAGTGCGCCAGACCAGCATCCGTAACATTGGTTTTAATGAGAATGAGCTCCTTGAGACTGGTCAAGGACCCAATGCCTTCCAAGGCACTGTCTGAGACGTCTGTGTCCATGAGGTCCAACTTCTCGAGCCGTGGCAGCCTGTAGAGGTGCTTGATGCCCTCTGCACTGAAGCCCGAGCTAGATTCCAATACAATGCTCTTGAGGCGCGTCATGGTAGACACATGGGCGAGCATGACATCCGAGACGCCTTGGCGACTCCTCAGACTCAGTTCCGCTCGTCGTGATGCTGACTGGATAGCCTGGAGGTGATGGATGAAGAGGGCATGGATGAAGAGGGCATGGATAAAGAGGGCATGGATGAAGAGGGCATGGATGACAAGCATAGGAATAAACATCTTAGAGGCTGTGCGGGAAAAAAAGGATGAAGAGATAAAACATGGAAAGGGAATGGATGGCCAAATAGCAAGCAATGCGTGCAGTGTGCTACAGTTCACTCAACACTCACCTTCCATGCCATCTTCTGATCGCCTTTACTCTGCTTGATCTGCAGCGCAACATTCAGTTTCAGGTTTCGTTTCTTCTGCCCTTCATTAGAGGCCGCCAGGTCGTCCATGGCATGCGACTGATTCAACTGCTGCACCTCCCTCCTCCTCTCCTCCTGCCGTGCAACATCCGCTCTGATTTCTTGCTTTCTCTTTCTACTCTTCCCTATCAGCCCTGTTCCATCCAATGCCCTACTACTCTCAGCCACTTTCTCTGCCATAGTGTGCTCGTGTTTCGCCAACTCCCCCTTCACCACTGCCAATTCCCCTTTAACCACTACCAACTCCTCCTTAATTGCTGTAAACTCCCCTTTCACCGCAGCCAACTCCCCCTTCACTGCTGTCAACATGTGCCGCAGCTCATCCACCTCCTCCCTGTGTGCAGCCAACTCCTCTCTCACTGCTGCCAGCACCGCCTCTTTGATCAACTCATTCACTGCAGTCGTCACTCCCTCACCAGCCATTGCATACAGTCGCTCCCCTCAAACAACCCTCCTTCGATAACTGACTGATCTTTTTGTTCAACTGACTTTCTCACTCCAGACTGCAGAAAGCAGATACGCCTGGTTGTGCAGGGTTGAGCGTTTTGCAAGGCGAAGCGCAAAAACAAAAGAGGGAGAAGGGGCGTGGTCAGCGCAGTGCGCAGACAAACAGGGCCAATCACATAACCGTGTGGGTCAAGGCCGTGACGTATGTAAGAGAACGGCTGAGGAGAAGAAAACAAGGAGGATCTGATGACAAGATATGGAGAGCTGATTGAACGCATCAGAAGTCCGACACGTGCATTTGGCATGAAGTCGGACAGCAATTCAACAAGGGAAGGGAAGGCTGGGAGGAGGAGAAGAGAGGAGTAGAAGCACGAAAGCCACGAGACACGTGAGCGAGGACTACCAAAAAGGGACACCGGAGCAAACAGCAAGGTAGAAATGAATGCATAGGGTGAAAGACGGAGACTCGCAGACTCGGGTTTATGAGTTATGAGCCGGAAACGACCGGACAGGTAGTGATGTGATGTGAAGTGGTTAACTCCGACTCACGAGGCAGAAAGAACACGAATAGTGGGACAACAAAGTAGAAAAAAGTGGATTTAAAAAAAAAAGGAGTGAAACGGAAGCACAATAGCAGGCAAACCAGTGAGAGGCACCAGAGAAGACAAACAAGAGCGAAGATGACCAGGTTGGAGGGTAGCACGGAGGGTGCTGGTATGGAGGTGATGTACAGTTACTCAAACGAAATGAGCTGAATGAGCAGAGCAGCCTTAAAGTCCAGGGAACAACAGTGGTAGCAGAACAACGGTTTCTGGGAGGCCAATTGCCGTGCAAGAGAAAAGAGGGAAAAAAAAAAAAAAAAAAAAAAAAAAAAAAAAAAAAAAAAAAAAAAAAACGGAAAGTAGAAAAGCAAAGGTAGACGGGTAACGGGTTGTATATGTTTCAAACTTTCTAAATCAGAAGTGCACTCATTATGTAAACAGATATTGACACTCCCACCCACACCTTAACATCAATGCAGGTAGATGAGGTGAGGGTTGCAAGAAGCAGCTAGGCCAACAGGAACAGGCTGGGACGGAGGAGGAGGAAAGCAGCAAGATGGGATGCTGCATGAGGATGCGGAGCAACAGTGACCACAAGGGGACAAGCCCAGCTCAGCCTGGCATTAACTACGCAACTTCACCAGTCGAACACACGTCCTCCCAGTGGATAGAACCACATCCTTTAGTGGGTGCTTCAGTGGTTTGTTTCTCCTTTCCTTACCACAGTCAGGCAGGCGAGGGACGCCGGAGCGAGCGCACAAGGGGATCTGAAAGTAGAGAGCTCAGGAGGACAATAATCGTAGTGAAGTGACTGCCATTCCATACATAGTATGAGTCAGCAAGGGGCTGAGCGATGGCTTGGCCGTTTGAGGTGCTCTTTGAGCCAAGACGAAAGACTCCTGAAGTCGACTTGCAACATGGCATGGAATTTCTGGCTCTCACAGAGCTGGTCGGCTTGAGAACACGGGGCCGGTCGGAAACCTATGTGGATAGGGACGATGATATGAAGGTCACGGGGCAGCGACACCCCTTCTACGGCAAATTCAAGGTGAGTGAGATGGTTCGTGTGAGGTACAAGGTGAGATGATACGAGCATGGCATGGCATGGTGTGGCATGGCATGGTGTGGCATGGCGAAGCTTGCATCAACCCGACACTCTTCTCCCTTGCCTGCATGTTGCCCCCTTCGCCTCCCTGCTCTGCCCCCCTTGTTGGTCAGTGCCGCATGTCTCGCAGTGACTGGCATCGGATGCTTCGCATGCCAACTTCTCAATGTTTCTATTTACCAAACCAACCCACCCTTGCTGCTTGGAGATTGTCCTCCCCTACCCCCCTCTCTTCTCTCTTCTCCCCCCTCCACCCCACCGCCTCTCTGCCCGCCGTTCCTCGTCCTCCTCCCCCCACCACCTGTGTGCAGCGCTGGGCGTGATCTTCTCTGCCAGTGACTTTGTCTCCATGCTGCCGGTATGCTGGGGGAACAGTGCGGGGGTGGTGGGGTTGGGGGGAGAGTCGAGGGAGAGTGGGTTAGGAAGAGGCCATGAGGATAGGGTAGCCAAGAGATGGGCAAAGCTGCTGGTAAGAGTGGGTGTGGGGGGGAGGGCATCATGTGCACACGCACACCAGCAGCCTGCAATGCCCCTTCCTCCCTCTCTTCCTTTCACCGCTGTCTCCCTTCCTGTGTGCCCTACTGTTTTCCCTCCTGAGTGCCCTCCTCCCCAAAGCACCGCTCCATGTGTTTATGCGTGCTCTATACCCTGCACGCATGTGAGCAGGTGTTGGACCAGGCGGAGCAGACGTTGGTGTACAGCCTGGTGTTTGAGGAGGGCGTGGTGAACGGTGCCACGTCCTTTGTGCTCTTCCGTGCCGTACAGCTGCTCGTCCTCTAGCCCACCGCACACGCGCTCTCCCTCGCCACGCTGCTCGGCGTGCTCTCCGACTTCCTCTACCTCTTCACCGCCTCCACGCTGCTCGGCGTGCTTCGTCATAAACTGTCGATCCTCGCCACTCCATTTTTCACACCCACGCCAACCTAATCCTCCTCCCACTCCCATCCTCGTACGCCCCCTTCCCCCAACCCCCCTGCCCCACTCCCCGGTGCGCTGTGGCACGAGCAGCCATGCAACAGATTGGGATGGTACCGTGCTCATTCTTGTGGTGTTGTTTGCATGTGTGCATGGTTGATTATGTGCATGTGAGCATGTGCGGTTTTCAGAGGAGGGAGAGGCCACGGCAGCCATGCTCTTCGCCGACACCATAGCGCTCGTCCTCTTCTCTACTCTCGTGAGCGTTGCTCCACCCTGCCACGCACCTCACTACACCTCATCGCACCTCGCACATTCCCCCCTTGCCCATCAGCACGCACCGCTTCCACCCCGCACTGTCTCGCAATTACAAGCCTCTCACCACACCACGCGTTTTCACACACTCAATCCCCCCTTGATACCCGGGTCTCCTCATGTGCATGCAAGCACCTCTGAATACCTGCTCATATGCTGCCCCACGCCATGAACATATGCGCTCCTCTTCCACTCCCAGTCCTAACGTGCCCAAATGTAGGTGAATGTGAAGATATTCCACCCACACTGGTGATTGCATAGAAGACCCCCGCCAGGTTCTAGGGAGATAGAGGGGGAAGAGGTGGACGTCCGGAGGATTGGATGGTTGGACATGAGACACAAAAATGTTGGTGTTGTGAATCCCACGGAAATGATTGTGTAGTACTCGATTGTTTATGCCTGGACTACATAGTTGTAATACTGTATTACATTTGTCATCGATGTGCCACACCATAATGGTGCCCTCCACATCCGAAAAACCGACCCGAAGCATAACTAAATCTTGGTTTTGCATAAGCATACTGCAAGGTGTAACTGTTATTGAGCAATGTCTTCGATCTATGTTTAGGGTATAGGGTGCATTCATCAGGTCCAATGTGGGCGGCGGAGATGCTAGAAAGCCAACGAAAGAGGGCACATGTGCAGACACTCATCTACGATGCTGCCCACCCATAACGCCGGTGAACGCTGCTGGAAAATGGGCGCAGCCGGGGAAGAGAAGGAAGTGGGAGCAGAGACTTGAAATGGCTTAGAGGGGGGACAGGCCTGGGAACGAAGGCAGGAAAAGGTAAGAGATCCAAAGGAACCAAAAGGGAAGTGAAGGCGGAGAAAGGGAACAGGAGGGAAGGATCTGAAAGGGGCGGTTTCGTGAGGGAAGCAATGGGAAGGGAGCATATGGGAAAGGGAGGGCAGGGAAGGAGCTGAGGGGGTATAAGGCGTGGTTACAGAAGCGGATAAACGGGAATGGATGGGGAACAGAAGCGCGGAGACCTGAAACGTGGAGACAAGGGAAAATTAAATGGCGCTGAATGGGAATGAAGGGGAAGAAGGGAAGAAGAGAGGGGTAGGGTTAACCCGGGCATGGAAGGGGGGTGGAGGGTTCAGTAAAAGGAACGGAATGGAAGGGAAGGGAAGAGTTTAGGAAGGGGATGGGGTAGCAGATGGAAGAGGAGTGAGGCGGAGGGAATTGTAGAGTATCAATGGGAAGGGGAGAGAAGAGAGAAAAACAGTAAGGAAGGGAAGGTGAGGGAAGTGGACAAAAGGGATGGGTTGGAATGGGGTGGATTGAGGAGGGAAATGAAGAGAAGAGGATGGAAGGGGGGAAACAGAGGGGAGGCATGGGAGGAAATCAAGGGCAGCAGGGGGGAAGGAGTGGAGAGGGGTTGGAAATGAAGGAGGGTGAAAGGGGGTAGGGTTGGAGGTAGGAAGTGGGAGAGAATACATGCCTTTCGGAAGGAGGCGAGAAAACAGTATGACAAACAAAGATGAAAGATGGCTTTGCGGAAAATTGTGTGAGAGGCAACAAAAAATGGGGTGCAAGGCAGGCGAGGTGTAGGCTGCATGGGAGTTGCTGGCAGCACGGGATGGGAGGTGCTGGCAGTGGGGGAAAGGGAGTGATGGCAGAGGGCAAGGACGGTAGTGTGCAGAGGGGGAAGGAAGGTAAGGTAGAAGGGGAAGGAAGGTAAGGCAGAAGGGGAAATAAGGAAAGGCAGAGGGGGAAAGAAGGTGAGGCACATCGCCAGAGGAAGGTAAGGCAGAAGGGGAAGGAAGGTAAGGCAGAAGGGGAAGGAAGGTACAGAAGAAGGGGAAGGAAGGTAAGGAAGAAGGGGAAGGAAGGCGAGGCAGATCGTGAAGGTAGGTAATGCGGCTACAACTGCGCGTGCGCATGCGTCTACTGCGCGCTAGCGGGCTGGCGAGCTACGCACGGGGCTCAAAACGGGTGAGGCGACGGGCAAAAAACGAGTGACGCGCGGGGAAAACGGGTGACGCCCGCGCGGCAAAACGGGTGACGCGCTCGGGGCAGTACGGGTGATGCGCGAGCTAGTGGGGTGACGGGGCGCTTTGGGAATTAAGGCGCTACAGGCTAGGTCGGGGCACGGGGCGGTGGGCCCATAGAATCATCTAGCTCTGTTACCATGCCAGAATCCCAGCTACTAACCACTGGGATAAAAAGGCTTGTTTGTGTAGCGGTGAATGCGTCCATAACCCCCCAGGCCAACGTGCCTGTAACCCTTCCCTAGGATCAATCGGGGATCTCCAGTGGACCTCTGACACCCCCCGCACTGGGATGCCCTAGGTGCACACACTGGGATTGGAAACCAAGACCTTCGCTCTGTTACCATGTCGAGAGTTGAACGGGTGAAGAATTGACTTAGGAAAAACAAGGTACAACAAGTTATAGCACGCCGTCACCGCACCAGCCACGCAGAGGGCATGGCACCTACTGCTGCACGTCGTCGTCACCGTCGCCAACTTCGGCCAGGCGCACTTGGCCGATTGTGACGGAGCATCGGTTGAAGGCCGGAGAGTGCAGCACCTTCGTCAGGAAATTGGCTGGCTGCTCGGTGGTCGGGATGTACCGCAGTACGAACTTCCCGCGTTTCACTATCTGCTGCAGCCAGGCGTAGCGTCGCTCCATGTGCTTGAGGTTGCCCTTCAGCCCCATGCCCTCAGCGACCGTGATGGCCGACTTGTCCACCGAGAGGACAGTCGGCGTCCCAGCATCGAGCAGCTTGAACTCTGCAAGGAGGAAGCGAAGTCAGCGTCCCTCCTTGCCATCCCCAGCTGCCACGTAGTCCGACTCGGTCGACGAAAGAGTCGCGCACTTGATGCGCTGGCTCGACCAGGAGACGGTGGCCCCTCCGAAGACGAACACGTAGCCGCCCGTGCTCGTTCTGTTCTGCTTGTCGCCGGCGTCGTCGGCGTCCACGTAGCCGACCAGGCTCAGCGACTATGGTCCACCGCCAAACTCCAGGGTGGTGCTACGGGTGTATGTGAGGTAGTTGAGGCAGCGGTCGACCTAGCGCCAGTGCTGGTCGCTCCTAACCGTCAGACCGCTCCCCAGCTTGCTGCACGCGAAAGCGATGTCCGGCCTCGTCGTTGTCGCCGCGAACTGCAGCAAGCCGACCTTCTGCAGGTACTCCTCCTTCTGCTGATACTCGTGGTCGAACGTCAGCTCAGCGTAGGCGTCGACGGAGACCGGCGTCTTTGGGATCCGCCCGGTCTGCTCTTCGTCGATGAAGCGTCTGCGTAGCTTGACGACGTACGACTGCTGGTGCAACAACAGATTCCTCGCCGGTCGGTCGCGCACGATCTCCAGCCCAAGGCACTTCTCGACGGGGCTGATCTCGTGCAGCTCGAAGGCTGCCTCCAGCAGCTTTTTCAGCTCCTTCAGCATGACGGTGCTGCTGCTGGCAGCGAGCAAATCGTCGACGTAGACGAGCATCCAGCACGTCACTCCGTCGTCGCCGACCTTGAAGTACATCGCATCATCGACCTGGCTCTTCTTCTGGTCGGCGCCAGTCAGCACGTCGTCGAGCCCCTTGTACCACAACAGCGGTGACTGCTTCAGCCCGTACAGACTCTTCAGCAGCTTGGATACCCGGCCGGTCCTGTCATCATAGTAGTCTGGCTGGTACATGTACAGCACCCTGTCGAGCTTGCTGTGCAGGAAGGCGTTCTTCATGTCGAGCTGCATCAGGTTCAGGTTGCTGAGGAAGATCCTCAACGTGATGTAGCTGCTGACCGGCGCGTACGTCTCGTCGTAGTCGGCACCATACACCTGCGTGAAGCCCTTCACGACCAGCCTCGCCTTCTTCTGGGCGATCGTGTCGTCGATGTGGTACTTCATCATCAACACCCACCGGTTCTTCATGATGTTCACTCCGCGCGGGCGTTTGACCAGCTCCCACGTGCCCATGCCCATGAGGCTGCGGAACTCCTCGTCCATGGCAGCCTTCACCGCCTTGCCCTTCCAGCTCGCCAAAGCTGTCAAGCTATATTTGTTATAGCTTCTATTTGTTAGTCTAGGTGGTGTACGTTCATGCTTAGGGTTGGCTAGGGTTTGCATATATCTTCCTTGTCATTCTCTGTCAATTCATTATTCAGTTACCTCATTGATATGGTATAGAGCAGTGCGATTCCCATGAGCCCACCGCCCCGCACTCACCCGTCGATTCCCGTTAGTACCGCGTTACCCGTAGCTCCCCGCTCCCCCCACCCCTCCCCCCCCCCCCCCCCCCCTCCCCCCCCCCCCCTCTCCCCCCCCGTCGAATCGCGCGCTAGAAGAGACCCCCATGGGTCCCCCACGTCGCGACCTAGGAAGTCCCCCGCGGACCCCCCGAATCGCGCGCTAGAAGGACCCCCGCGGGTCCCCCACGTCGCGACCTAGGAAGGCCCCCGGGGGCCCCCCGAATCGCGCCTTAGAAGGGCATCCCGCCACCCCGCAGCCCTCCCCGTCGCGTCCCCTCCCCGTCGCCTCCCCGTCGCGTCCCCTCCCCGTCGCCTCCCCTTCCCATCCTCGTCACGTCGCCTCCCGTTTCCCTCTCCGTCGTGTCCCCTCCCCGTCACCTCCCCGTCGCATCCCCTCCCCGTCGCCTCCCCTTCCCATCCTCGTCACGTCGCCTCCCCTTTCCCTCCCCGTCGTGTCCCCTCCCCGTCGCGTCCCCTTCGCCTCCCCGTCGCGTCCCCTTCCCCTCCCCGTCTCGTCGCCCTTCGCGTCGCGTCCCCGTTGTCCCCCGACCCCTTCAAGTCGCCTCCTCTTCCCCTGTACCCGCCGCCCCACCCTGTACCCGCCGCCCCACCCTGTACCTGCCGCCCCACCCTGGGCCCGCGCCCCACCCTGTACCCGCCGGTCCAACCTACGCCCAGAACCGCCCAAGACCGTCCCGAACCGCCCAGAACCGCCCAGAACCGCCCAGAACAGCCCAGAACCGTCCAGAGCCGCCCAGGACCGCCCAGAACCGCCCATAACCGCCCAGAACCGCCCAGGACCGTCCAGAACCGCCCATGTACGCCCACAACAGCCCAGAACCGCCCAGAATCGCCCAGGACCGCCCAGGACCGTCCAGAACCGCCCAGGACCGTCCAGGACCGCCCAGAACCGCCCAGAACCGCCCAGGACCGCCCAGGGATGTCCAGAACCGTCCAGGACCGTTCGAGCCCAGAATCGCCCAGAACCGTCCAGGACCGCCCAGAACCACCCAGAACCGCCCATAACCGCCAAGAACCGCCCAGAACCGTTCCCCACCGCCAGAACCAGCAGCAGCTTAGGCTGCCGCCAGCACCAGCAGCGGCTTAGGCTGCCGCCAAAACCAGCAGCAGCATAGGCTGCCCCCAGCAGAACCAGCAGCAGCATTGGCTGCCCCCAGCAGAGCCAGCAGCAGCATAGACTCCCCCCCCCCAGCAGAACCAGCAGCAGCACAGGCTGCCCCCCAACAGAACCAGCAGCAGCATAGGCTGCCCCCAGCAGAACCAGCAGCAGCATTGGCTGCCCCCAGCAGCACCAGCAGCAGCATAGGCTGCCCCCAGCGGAACCAGCAGCAGCATAGGCTGTAGCCAGCAACCGCTCCTAGCCGCTCCTCACCGCGCTCGGCCATCTCTAGCGCCTACCATGGCGAGTGCTAGAGTTCTGCAGCAGCAGCAGGGTCAGCCGCAACGACAGCAGCTACAGCACTCCCGGCAGTGGGGACCTGAGGGTCCTATGAGTACCGGCCGCAGCAGCGGCTCAGCCAGTAGTGGGCGCGACGTCGTTCCCTGCGGGTACCGGATCCTGACAGGCCCGGGTGCTGGCACCACCTGAAGGAGTCCTGACCACTCTGCGTCCCGCTGCTACCGTCGCCTCGATGACCTCCACCGTGAGCGTTTTGGTCCCCACGCTATTAGACCGCATTGGCCCTCGCGTCTTCGCCAGCGCACTTCTTCACCAGTTGAGTCTCACCTACCTGGTCTAGGACCTTTTCCCTGCACGAGTAGAGACATGTTTTTCCAGTCTTGCTGCGTGTGTAGTTTCCAGTCCAGCCGCCTCTGAGGGTCTTTTTGTGGACTTGCAGTTATCACTAGTCTAGCACCAGCCTTTGTCACTGGCTCGGGTGCGACCTCACAGCCTGCACGGCTTTCCTTCACCCTAGACTCTGGAGCGTCCAGCTGTTTCTTTTGCGACTGTACTGACCTCACACCACTGCGCACTCCAGTCATTGTCGCCTTGGCTGACCCCTCCGTGGGACCTGTAGTTGCCCACAGCACCACTCTCCCGTGTCCGGCGGCTCCTTCTGGGTTTCTCACAGGTTACAACACCCCCTCGTTCTCCAGGAACCTGGTGGGTGTCAGTCACCTCCACGACCTAGGTGTAGTCACTACTTTCCCACGGGACGAGCCTGTTGCCTCCTGCACAGTCGGTGCCACTGGGGCGCTTCTGGCCACCTTCCACAGGGAGCCGGGCTTTGTTCTGTACTCACTACACACTGGGTCCCACCACACAGGGTCAGGTCAGGTCAGGTCAGGTCAGGTAGCTGCTGTGTCGTGCGACTGTCGGTCCCTCACCCACCTGTCGGTCCTCTGGCACCACTGTCTAGGTCAACCGTCGTTCCCAAGTGGTACGTCAACGTCTGGTCTCAGGTCTACCAGAGTCGCTTGCCCCGCTTCCTCGCTCGCCTGCGCCGCCGTGCACTCCTTGCGTCGAGGGTCGGCAGCGCACTGCCCCTCACTCCTCCTCGTTCCCCCTCACCACGGCTCCCTTCCAGACCCTGCACTTGGACGTCTGGGGCCCCTCCCCAGTCCTTGGCCCACGTCAGGAGCGCTACTTCCTGATTGTGGTGGACGACTACTCTCGCTACACCACGGTTTTCCCCTTGCGACGGAAGGCCGACGTGCCTACCGTCCTCGAGCCG